CTGTGCTGGCCGGCCCGCGGAGCGGCAGGTTAGGAAGGGGCTTAGGGCACGTCATTGACTTAGATTTTGTTTTCCTTTTCAAGTTCGGCAAAGCCCAGGCTCGCTGGCCGCATCTCTGTGCGATGCCCCGGCATGCACTGTGCTGGCGATGTCACACCCACCACAGACCTCCGCTGCAGACCCGAGTGCCCTGTTAGGGGCTCAGGTAAGTCCCGTCTTTTTTTGTTTTACAATATTACGTGGTTTTGCAAATGTTGTTTTCTTTTTCGATATCTTTATTTCCTACTACTTAAGGTACGATAAAGTTTAAAAAAAAAAGTAATATATCTATAACTGAGATGTAAAAACTTTGCTATACCACAAAATATTGTAAAAAACAAAAAAAAAAAGACCCCCAAATGACCCCACTGCTATCTTTGTGAAACGGAAAGCCAAAAATAACAAAATTGGACCACCCCTTTCCCCTTTCTCTCCCCAAAGCAACACTTGACTGTCCCCATAGGGCAACTCCCATCTGCAGCAGAGCCTGACGGAGGGTGTGACATGTCAGGAGCACGGTGCTGGGGCCTCGCGAAGAGCAGGAGGAGATGGAAAGTCTTGCTTTTGGAAGACCTAAACGCCAAGAGGCAGGAAGTAGCGTAGCTCGAGCCCGTGTGGCGCTGGGCGCTGCTTGCTGCTGCTGGAGCTGGCAGACACCCAAGGCACCTGACACCTCTTAAGATTGCTCTTTACCTTTACAGGGTTAAGCCTGTCACCAGTGACCTGCTCCTGTCGCTTGCTGCTTGGGACTTGCAGTGCAGCTTCTGGGAGCTTTTAATTGCCGCCTGCCCTAACGCTTCTCTGCGATGTTAGCGAACAGCGTGGCAGGCTCAGAGTGCAGAAGGACAATCGGCCGTTGCACCGCCCCGCGGGCTGCCCCGTGACTCGCCCCGCTCGGGGGAGGTGGCGCGTAGGTGGAGGTGATTCAGGTTTTGGGGCACTGCTCAGTCACTACTCTGTCCTCTGAGACCAGCAGTTTGGGCAGGAATGTTTCTGTGTTAGAAACATCTGCCTTCTGGGAACTGCCGGGAGGCCACCGGCCACGTCGTGTCGGTCTCTGAGCTGCAGTCGAGGAGGGTGATAACTGGTGCTCGGCACCGAGGCGTGGGCTGGAGGATCGGGAAGCGAAAGTGCGGTTTTGCATAGGGGTACAGAGTTGCTCAGAGCACTAGAGCTGTCTCCAGGAATAAGCCCACAGGGGAGTTTTTCAGTAAAAACGGTACTTGCCCCCACGCGTTTTCTTTGCAGTTAATAAATCAGCTTCAGATTTCGGGCAGCGGAAGTGAGGCGTGCAGAGCCAGGTGCCTCTCACAGTATTCTGGGGTAGTCAAGAAATAAACGTGCGGAAAACAGATGCTATCTTTTTGCTATGAAAAAATCAAGATTGGAGATGCTAATAAATGGCTCGGTGCATCTTTTCTGTAAGAGAGAGGCCACAAGTCATGCACCGGAGGCGTTCCCCCGTTTATGTTTTGATTAATGCTTTGCCTTTGTGAATGCTGCTGGTGTGGCTCAGAGAGAGAAGTTCAGCAGATATAATAGAACTAGCCTGGCAAGCTGAGATTCTCAAGGTTTTCTGGAGCATTAGAGCTTGGCCTCTGTTAAGCTTGAAATGAGCAAATCCTCACTTTGACTTAGCCTGAAATATTCTTGCCACTGTTCAGGTGAGTCTTCATCTCTCCCGGTAGGCAGCATGAGCTCAGGAGGCTCCCCTGGACTGCACCAGTGGCCTTGAGTCTTCACTTCTGCCCTGGACTAGTAGTGAGGGTGCTTGTGGACAACCTGTGGGACCAGATCTTCAGAGCTGCTGCGCTGCTTGGTGCTATGTGTGCTGCATCATTATGTTTTGTACTGCGTTGCTTCACAGCAAAATAAAAGCATAATTAACCTAGTAGAAGTGCAAGCACTTAATACACTGGGAGAGTGAAACAACAAATTAGATGGGAGGAGTCGGTGAGGCCCGGAGAGGGAAAGACTGATCCCTTCAGCTGGAGGTGGGGAAAGTGAATTGCATGAGGCCAGTTCCTGGTCCAGCTGGAAGCAGTGGTGCAGGAATAAGTCGGGTGTGTTTGTAGTGTTTGTTTTTTTTCTGGGGAAGGCGAGTCATCTTTCCCCTTGGCTGCAGCAGCAGCATCCCAGGAGCCCAGCAGAGTTTTGCCAGCGCTGGTACTGAGACCGAGCAGCGTGCTCCGGCATTTCATACTGGACTGATGGACGCCCTGGTGGGAGCCAGGGGCAGACGTTGTCAGCTCAGCTTGCATCATCCCGGGAAGTGATGTTATTCAAGTCGCGTGTGGTTTCCCACGCGGTCAGCTTCCCGGTGCCAGCGGGTGGCAGGGCAGTGTAGCTGGGAGCTCTGGTGCGTGCTCTGGAGCTGGCATGCTCCCAGCTCACTGGTTATCCTCTGCACTTCTTTAACCGAGGAATTTACCACCAGGCAGAGCCTGTGGGTTGATGTGGAGAATGGGTTATTACAAGCACGAGCTCTGGTGGCGCTGCAGAGTCCAGGGCAGAAGTGCACATCTTGCCCTTGGGCTGATTTGGGAAAGTCAGCGTATGTAGGGTTTTGCGGCTGGATTCCGAAATGGAGATTTCAGCAGAATTAAGAGATTGCTAGAACATGCTTATGCTTTTTAATATTGTTTGAATATTATTTATGTATAAAATGATAGAAAGCAGCACTGGAGCATGGCACCGCGTGGTCAGGAGGCCAGAAGGAGGCGAGGGAGCAGGGAGCAAAGGCTGAGTCAGCGGCGGGGGCTGCCGGCACGGAGCTTCCCCGCACTCGGGCTGGCAGGCCGTGGGAGCACAAGGCAGGCAGATGACTCAGACTGAGGAGATAGAGCTGGGCTTCACACACATCCCGAAAAGACAATGACATCTTTGAAACATGTAACTGAAGGCAGCTGAATTGCAGCCACAAGCTGAATTTTTCAAGGCAGGAAGAGGCGAGGGAAAGTCGTTAAGGGATGAGCGTCGGCTTGGCAGGTATGGTGAGAGAGCAGGGGGAGAGTGGAGGCATTAGGACAATGGATACCAGAAACTTGGACAGTGGGATGTTGGCGAAGAAGTGGAGTTTCAAAGAGCCAAAGGTTGTATTTGGTTTTCCCCAAATCTGATCTCTGCCGCAGAGCAGCAGCACAATGCACCTGTCTTTCCTTGTGGTTTGCCAAAATGCAGAGGGACACCTCTCAAAAACCAGGCCCAAACTGGAATGGCACAGCAGTGTGCTTCAGAAAGTGGATAAGCGTGTAAAAGAGAACAAGAAAGCTGAGGGCTTCTAAACTTCGTTTGTCGAAATCAAAGTCTGTGGAATGCTTGGCTTGTGTCGCAAGGGTAGGTAGGGCTCTCGTGGTGCGTGCCAGTCACTGGCTTCCTGAATGCTTGATGAATGAGACAAGGATTTCATGCAGGGCTGTGAAACAGGTGGATGAACACACATTCAGAGCAAGATACGGTGCAGAGAATTTTATTGTGCCACATGTAAACCTGACGCTGAACCACAGGGCAATTCGGCAAAGCTCTTGGTCTAACATGGCATCTAGTTTTTCAGTGTATTTTAATGGAAGCACTGACGCAAGCAAGAGGGAAATTCCTGTTGGTGGAAGGGAAGCTGGGAAGTGGAAATGAAGGACGCAGAAAGCAAGCAGGGGATGGACCACGGCTCTCCAGAACCTCCACACCATTTCACAGAATTCTTGTGGGAACAGCTCTCTGTTGTAAGCTTTGCTAGCAGTCCTCAGGAGAGTAGAGATGCAAACTGAGGTACCCGTGGTGATGGAGAGACATTACCTAGAGCTAAAGCTGAATAACATGACAAAAAGCAGTATGAAGGGGAAGATCTCCTGTAAGTGCGTAGAGCAAGCGATCTTGGGGGCTCTTTCTGTCTTTTTAATACTCCTTTAGAAATTTCACATCGATTTCTTCAGTTCTCTCCCTGCTAATTTGTGTTTTCACAGCAAGCATGTAAGGCAAAATTGTCTATTGGTTGAGGGGTGTTATCTGTGTGGTAATCTGTTTTTACAGTTGACTGCTTTCTACAAAAATGGAGCTGTGTGCCACCCACTTGAAGATTTTTTTAGCTCTCATGGTCTGTAGGAGTTAATGACGCCCCCATTTAAAATAGTACAGCAAGTAGTTAGAATATCTCTAGATATATTTAGCTAGAGAGACTTCAGTGGTGGAGACTGAAGGATTAGGAAGAAGGAAAACAGCAGGGCACAGCTCTGACATGGTCAGGTCCTCAGTGACACAAGGAAGGAAGGACACTCTTGTGATGAGAATATTGTCCTTTTATAAGACTTTCCTTCCTTATAGGAAGTTTCTCTAATGAAAGTAGAGATCACAGTGCATTTGTGTGGCTGTGATTTGTGCAATCACAGAAACTAAGCCTGAATACCCCCCAAATGTTGCGAGATTTCTGCTGAAATGACAAGTATGGGCACTCACAAAAGTACATTCAGTTAAAAGCTGGGTGAAATAGTTGAGCCTCAGCACTGCGGCCGGCCCCGAAGGTGCTAACCAGAAAGCCCAAAATCACGCTGCTGCCTGACTCTGAGGCAGGAGCAATGCTCTCCTTGCGCCGTAGGCAGAGGTAGCAGCAGATGAGCCACTCTTTCTCTCTCTGGGGTATGTTTTCCCTCGAGTGCCAGGCAGTGCAAAGTCTGGTGGGTTGTATTTACCCCACGATTTTGTAACCACGTGTTGCTGCTCTGCCCGGCCGCTGCGGAGGCTGCATCTGCCGGGCGTCGGAGCTTGATGCTGAGGGGCAGGCGGATTGCAACCTCGTGCAGTCCGGGCTCAGGGATTCCAGGACAGATGTTGGGGTCGAGCTCATCCGCAGAGATGTACCTTGTTGGCGCCGAGAGCACAGCAGCGTTAACCCCACGGAGGGAGCGGTGCCAGGGGAACTCCGTGACACCGAAGTGGCCGTCCGGCACCGCAGTGTGAGAGCAGTCGGGCTGTGTCCGAGCTCAGAGCAAGTGCATGCGTTTCAGTTGCACCCTTGAGGAGACGGTCCGGAGTGAAGCCTACAACCTGATTTTCTCTCTTTTCAATTAAAGGCAAGTAGCGAATCTGAAAATGAGAGCCCAAAAAGAAGAGGCCAGAAGCAAATGAAAAAAACGTAAGTTTCTAGGGAAAGGGTTTTGAATGTTGGTACTTGGCTTTGTTTTCAGAATAGTAGTATTGGATTGTTTGATAGGTGTCATCAACATGGAGATCTTGTGAAACAGATTATTTAATATTTCCACTATTAACACTTTGGATGACCGACATGAAAGTATGAATAAGGATCTACAGGTAGATGCCATTTCCCCACTTTCCTTTTGTTTATATTTTCCCACTTTGTCCATGACAGAAGTTGTACAAGTCAGGTTCACTTTCTGTTGTCAGTCTTTCACTTTTCCATCAGGTTATGTATTCCCCCTCAGAGACACTTAAAACAGTTTAATGCCTTCTCCTCCCACCTTTTTGATTAACAGAGAATAAAATGCCAAATTACTATCTTCTTTTATCTTTTATAACCCTCCGCTAAAACAAAATGACTTCCATAACAGATAAGTTGGATGTCTGATCACCATAGCTGAGTTCACTTACAGTCATATTTTGCTGCCTTTTTCCATCTAATAAGTACTTTTTTGGTTTTTCCAAACACTAAAGCCAGGTGAAGGCAACTACAAACAAGCTGCCTGCTGGAGAAAGCTTTAGCACAGCCACATGATCCTGCTCCCTTTCTCCTGTTTCTTGTCTTTTAATTCTTCATTTAGCTGTACACATCAGTGCAGTAGGGAAGGTGATAAAGCACAGGGACGACTGAGTAGTACAGACCTCTCCTGGGCAAGGGGAGTAACTCCTGTGGACTCTCCCTTGGAGAGGGGAGGGGCTCCTTCCAAGGGCATTTTTGCTCTGAATTGCCCACAGAGAACATGCTTCCTTCCACTCATGGTACGGTGTGATCTGGCTTCACGCTTGGAAACTTTAATTGCCTGCATTTAGATGGCAGGAGACGTCTTACTCCGTTTTCTGGGAGATCGTGTATCTGTTCAGGTTGTGGCTCATGCTCTATAAGTGAAAGTGAGCACTTCTCTTCAGATTTTTCCAGCTCGTTTCAGAAACACAGAAGTGGGAAAGAAAAATGAATAAATGGAAGCACTTGCCCACCCGGCTGTAAGAAGTACAGCTCTGCCGCAAACCCTGTTGTAGTGTCTTAAGAGCCACTCTCACTCGACATACACTGCCACTGCCTGAACTAAAACCTGCGTGACTGAGGCCTCTCCCTAAAAGCAGAGAATCACATCGTAAAGTCACCCGTCATTGCACTGAACAACCAAGAGTGTTGTTTTGAACTTTTTCTCGTAGTTATGGCCTGCTAGTAGTAACCTAGATGGCTTGGATGCCTTCTTAGCCAAGTGTTTGTCTTGAAATCTGGTCATATCTCATGACATACATTTCTGACTGTAGAAATAAGTGGAAAAGAGAGGTCTCTGGTGAAGAAGAGGATGAAGATGGAAGGGAGCAAGGCACTAGTGGAGAGAGTGAGCCCGAACCGAAGAAAGTTAAAGCAAGAAGACCTGCCCAGAGAAGGTAAGGAGGGATTGATTCAGTCCATCTCTTTTTCTGCTTATTATCTTTTCTGCTTTTGCTGGGTGGAGGAGTAATCTCTGTTTGTCACTAAAGAATGTTGAGGTGGTTTTTTTCTGCAATATTGCCCTTGTTTATAACCTAGTAAACCTAGAACCGAGTTACTCTCTCGTGTACCCATTTCATGCTCCAGTGAGTGATGCAGTGGTTTCCATGGCAGTTAGGGCAGACTAAATCCCTCAGAATCTAGTATTTGAGGTGCGTGCTTTCTTAAAGGCTTACTAAAATAGATTTTTGTGTAAAACGTGCTGTATGACGGCTTTGTTAATTCTTATTTTAGAACAGTGGCCAAACCCAGTGTTAAAAAGGCTCACAAACGCCAGTGTGGGAAGAAGAGAAAGAAACCAGACTCATCTGAAGACGATGATGACGATGAAGATGATGAGACCCCCAAGAGACAAACTCGACGGAGGGCAGCCAAAAATGTCAGGTATCGAGATGCATGCGTTTGCTTGATGATGAGAGCTGGGGAAGAAGGGGCACCCCAAATTCCCTGCCTTTGGCACTGACTCCCTGTGTGATCCTGCAGAGAAACTCTCCTCTGCCCCACAGATACTGGCGGGCCGAGAAGTGCTGCTTTTGACAGGTTCGTGGGAACATCTGACTTCCCTTTACCTTTGTTTACCTTCTGTGAAGGAGGGGATATCTCCTGTGCCTCTTAGAGCAATGTAAGAAGGTTGACGTAGTGTTTCTTAAGTACTCTCAGATGAGATTAAGAACTAGAAATAATGGATTAAAATGAGCTGTGCTGTTTTGGACTGGTTGTCTGAGAGTGGCCGATAGGTAATGCCTTGGGACAGAGTACTGAGATGTGGGGGAGGTCAAGCATTATCCATTCCCCGCTGTATCTTCTCGCCTTTTGACAGTCCTAATAAGGGACTTGCAAAGAGTCACCTGAAGAATATTTTTTGGTACTTAAATGTTCATCAAAGAAGTGTATTTCCTAGAGCAGTGCAGGCACCCATGCAGCCTTTCTGATGCTCTGCAACCTCTCTTGTTAAACATAAAATAATCTTTCACTGGATAGAGGAGATTTTCTCTGCTGATGATCTTGCTTCTGCTGCAGGTATTATTCCACCTCCTCATGAAACATCTGGTGTTGGCCATGATCAGAAGAAGTATATGGATAAGATAGGGTATTAATATTATAAAGTGCAATTCAGGGAAAAATACTGAATGACTAACTTGAGAAATGCATGTGCTAAACACGCACTGGACCCTGGGATGACCGCTGATGTCGGCTTGCTCCAGTCTGTGTCATTCTGTGTGTTTCTGGACTGGGAAGAGTAAAGGAATTTTTTTATCAGTTTGATTTTGGTCTTGTTCAGTTACAAAGAAGATGACGATTTTGAGACGGATTCTGATGACCTGATAGAGATGACTGGGGAAGGAGCTGAAGAACAACAAGATAACAGTGAAACTATTGAGAAGGTCTTGGACATCAGGCTTGGAAAAAAAGGAGGTGGGTAGTTCTGGAAAAAACTTGTTTCTGATGTCAGTCGCGCACACAGAGTTTCTTTTGAGCTGCTGCAATGCTTCTGCAGCTTCGAAGCGGGCCAAGGGTTGTTTTGGTGGTCTTCACCCTTTCCTCTGTGCCTCTTCTTTATGCCTTCTAGTACTGAAAAACCTAAAATGTCAAGTTGATGTACTTGGCAGCTTTCATGAATTGTGCATGCATTTTAAAGACACAGTCATTGTTCTGCAATTCTTGCTTTTCTCTACTTGAAATATAAAATAGATCTTCCAGTAGAGTCAATTTTCATAGCTCCACTGACAAAGCCATAATGAAAATAAAGCTGATATTTTGTTCTCATACCCTTACAAAAGTGTCTTTGTAAAACTGAATGATCAGGAATGTTTTCAAGAGACCTTTTAAATTATATTTAAAGCAAAAGCCTTTATGATAGGTTTTAAAACATTCTATTGCATGGAAAACTTTTATGTGCCTGTCTTACTGACTTGCAGAATCCTTAGGATATTCTTTGTGCTGTCACAAAAGATCTATTAGAAAAATGACTTTCTGCTCTAACACAGTTGATGTCCGGTGCTTGATAGCAAAGGCACCGACTGCAGCCTGATTCCTTTTGCAGCCACTGGTGCTTCCACCACCGTGTACGCAACTGAAGCCAACGGCAACCCAAGCGCTGACTTTGATCCTGAGAAGGATGAGGGAGAAGTTCAGTACCTGATCAAATGGAAAGGCTGGTCGTACATCCATAGCACGTGGGAGAGTGAAGAGTCCCTTCAGCAGCAGAAAGTGAAGGGCCTGAAAAAGCTCGAAAACTTCAAGAAAAAAGAGGAGGAGATCAAGCAATGGTACGCTTTGCTTCAACCGGTGATATGGCCTTGGGCAAATCTCTTTTAGCCAGAGGTTTGCAGAGTCGTGACTGCAAACAGTTGATTTCTTCTTGCAAAGCGTGTTTCTTCCAAAGCAGTTGTTTTTAGGGCACCACGCTCATGTCTCACTTTGCCTACTGATGAACTTTGCCCCTCAGAGAGGCTGTGGCAGTGGTGTTGAAAGAGAGAGGAAGAGGCGTGAAATCCACGATATTGCCACTTGCCAGGCTTAAGAACTGGACAAAAAATAAATGGTGTACAGATTCACCTGGCCCAGGAGGTGACATGAGGGCTGGCAGCCTTATTAACCCTCACTAATTATGGGCCTATCTGCATGCAAGTTTTTGCTTCAGTTTTTGTCTGACCTTCCCAGGAGCTGTGTGGAGAGCTGTGGTGTGTCTCCATAGTGATAAAGCTGGAGTATAGCAGCTTCCATCTTTGATTCTGATTTTGAGACTGATTCTTGCAGCAGGATAAGGCATCGTTTAACAAGGAGACAGCATGAACATCTATGACTTTTGCCTCTTAGTGATGATTTGTAATTATAAGAAGCTTTAAGAATCGTGTCCTATGAGCTGTAGTCTGCTTCAGTGACTTGTATGAATGACAGAACCATATCGGAAAGTAGAATTTCTGTATGTGGCCTCCACAAGCATTGTGACAGAAGTGTTGTAACGGTTTTTTGTTTTGGATGTTTTTGTGTTTAGGCTGGGCAAGGTATCACCTGAAGACGTGGAATATTTCAACTGCCAACAAGAGCTAGCTTCAGAGCTGAACAAACAGTATCAGATAGTGGAGAGAGTAATAGGTAAGCGAACCCAACACTTCTGCAAAGGGGCGAAGTAAGACAAGGGAACTTGAATCTCTAGTGACAGCAGAATGAGCGTATGGCTCTCTCGTCTTCCCTATCCTCCAGCATCTCTGGTGAAAATAAAATGGTGTTAAACGTATTTCAGTGTGTGAAATTCAGGAATTTGGACAATAGAAGCCTGGGTTTTCAGATCTGTATTTACAAGCAATACAGATCAATCACTCTCCTTGCCTGGAGTGTGGAATGATGCACCAGTTTCCAAGGGGTTGTTGAAACCACTGCTGCTGAAGTTGTTTGACTTTGGCCCTTTGGATGCAAGGGGTGTTTGTATCCAAAGCAGCAGCACAGGGCTGTGCCCAGGCCTTTTGTGAGGACCACTTTCTGCCACATGGTTGAGTATGTGGTTAGGCTGCAAAGCAGCTCAGGGGTTAGATTTTCATGATTACCTATTAAAAACAAAAACAAGACTTCCTGAGCACATGAGTAATACGATAGTCATGTCGTTCAGAGGTGCCAGCATCTGATTGCTCTGGGGGATTGTCTCAGAGAGCCGTTTAACGGATTTCCATGCAATTCCTGTAACAATGCCTGGGGTGTGTGGCAGTGACAGCCTGCCTGCCCTGCTCCCCCTGCTGCCTGTCAGCACTCCCTTCCCTTCTGTCTCCAAACACAGCTGTGAAGACCAGCAAGTCTGCGACCGGCCAATCAGATTTCCCAGGTAAAGGAGCATTTTTCTGGTCCCTCTAAACTTTTTCTGCTAGCCAAGACCTGTCTTGTGGTTGTATGGGTGGTTCAGGCTGCCCCTGTGAACCATGCTTGTGGTTCAGCCACAGAACCACAGTTGCTGAGGTTTGGGCTTCTTTGCATATTTTGCAGCCAACAGTCGCAAAACATCCTCAAATGACCCCGAATACCTGTGTAAGTGGATGGGGCTGCCCTACGCCGAGTGCAGCTGGGAAGATGAGGCTCTGATAAGCAAGAAATTTCAGCACTGCATCGACAGCTTCAACAATCGTAACAACTCCAAAATGATTCCGACCCGGGATTGCAAGGTTTGCTCGCCTCTCTTCTCTCCTCTTGCTGGGTTTCTCCAGGCTGGATGATGACACGAGTGGTGGGAACGTGAAGTTTTGTCAGGATAAATGTCAGGGAACGTTTTTCCATCCTCGCTCCGGCGTTTGAATGGTTGTTTGCTGTTCTCATGTTGTACTTTAGGCAGAGATGTGAACCTCCTTTGGGTTTCATTTACTCTGCGTGCCGTGAGAACGTTATGTCCCCCTTGGGAGTGGGAGGCTTAATTAATCCTTGCAAAGCACTTCCTCCTCAGAAGGAGCTGCTGCAGAAATGCAAAGTTTTAATATCAGTTGGATGAAGAAACAGCACACCTGGGAAAAGTGAAAACCTGTAAGATGCTGATACAGTGAAGGAGAAGGACAGACGGGCAAAAAACCAAGATGACAAAAAAGAAAGTGGAGCTTATTGCATCTAGCATGTGTTATGTACAGCTTATGGCACTGCTGGGAGGCACTCATGACCTTGGTTGTCAGAACGAGAGGACAGCAGGCAAAACATAGCGCTGCAGAGTGGTTTTGTGAACTGCAGACATAGACACTGGCTAGGAAAACGTGGTCAGACTTTAACCAGTGAAGAGATATGCATTCATTGCTGAATTTTCAACCTTGTCTTTTTCTTCAGGGAGCTTATAGCATCTTCTTTTCCAGGTTTTGAAGCAGAGACCGAGGTTCGTTGCCTTGAAGAAACAGCCTTCTTACATTGGCAGTGAGAACCTGGAGCTACGAGATTACCAGCTGGAGGGCCTCAACTGGCTCGCTCACTCGTGGTGCAAGTGCGTACAGATGCTGAGTGATGTTCATTTTGCCTCGTAATTTTTGTCCCAGTAGGATCTGGCCTTCTTGTTTCCAAGAAAGGCCTTTACTGATCCTGCTTATGCAGCTTGAAGGATCTCAAAACGTGATCACGCCCAGCTGCATTGCAGACACCACAAGCAGGAACTACCTAGAGCGTGAACTTAATAAACCTTATGTGAAAACAAAAAAAGCATTTTCCCTGTCTGGGCCTGCTCACATGCTGGACTTGGCTGCGGTGTGAGCCTAGTGCCTATCAGCCTGGATTTTCCATTGCCCTAACTGAAGGCAAAGATTCTGGCTCAGCATGCTAACACACTTCTTGAAGTCTTTGAGAAATGTCTTTCTAAAATTAGGCCACGGACTGCCTTCTGCCTTTGCCTTTGTCCTTGCTTGCCAATTTGAAGTGATCGTGGTCCATTACTTTAGCAAGTTACTGTGCCACATACAGCCTGGATGTTCCTGGGATCCACTTGGAATGGTTATATTGGTATTCTTGGAAGTTTTCAAGCCGCTGTTCTTGGAAGTGTTCAGATCAGTGGTTTTGTGCTGCCCCCTTTCTGTCCCTGTCGTGGATAGCTATTTGTGCTGGTGTGCAGTAAATTACTAGTGGCTGAAACATGCACTCAGACAGCATTTGTGTTTGTTCTCTTCCTTTTCAGGAGCAACAGCGTGATCCTGGCCGATGAAATGGGCCTGGGCAAGACAATTCAGACCATTTCATTCCTGTCGTACCTCTTCCATCAGCATCAGCTCTATGGCCCTTTCCTGGTGGTGGTACCTTTGTCCACACTCACTTCATGGCAGCGAGAGTTTGAAGTGTGGGCACCTGAGATCAATGTGGTGGTTTACATCGGAGACCTCATGAGCAGGAACATGGTGTGTGGTCGGAAGGCGATGGGCGTGGGGTCGGGTAGAAGAGCTGGGTGCTTCTGTGTAAAGTGTGACACACATTCTGCTGGAGAGGCTGATGGATAGTGTTGGCAGCACTGCAGACAGCTAGAGCTGGTGAAGCTGAGCACTTCGGTAGAGTTGACTCCTGTCAGGACTTTTCTACCCTTTATGCCCTCTTAGAGTGAGCCTGGGAGCACTGGCTTCTCACAGAGAGTTTGGAAACCCCTGCAGTGCTGGGCTGAAACGTGCTGCAGCTTACAGCGTAGCGCTGTAGAAGTGCTTGCCTCCTATGCCCTGAATTATTCAGACGACAAAGCACACAAATCTTGTGAGTCTAGTGGTGTCACTAGAGAGAGGATGTGTTCATTTGGCAGTTGAGGGTCATGTCATGACAGCAAGGTTCGCTGTACGAGAGCGGTTGAGCCATGTGTGCTCTAAAACGTGCTGCTCCTTGGGCACCCCAAGCTCATCAGGTGGCACGTTGAACAACGGGATTTTTGACTTGATTGGAGTCTCTGGCTATAGCTACAGTAACGTAACAATTGTTAACTCTTTCCTTTCGATGACAGTGGTTGGAGTTAACATTTGTCTCCTCTCACAGATACGTGAATATGAGTGGATCCACTCTCAGTCTAAAAGATTGAAATTCAATGCACTTATCACAACATACGAGATCCTTCTCAAGGATAAGGTGAGTAGTGGTCCAAGGCTGGTTTTATTTAGACTTGCTTGTGAAGGGGAAGCCAGCCTCCAGGTAGGGGGTTTCACCTTTTTCCTCTGTGGTGGTGGAGATCATGGAGCTACTATTCACTTCTGCTTGGCAGTGGGCATGTGGGATACCTGTTACAGTGTCTTCACTCTTGCGCTGCACAGCTGTGCTATTTTTAGTTGTAAGATCCTGGTTTATTTTAGACTAGTTAAAAGGATAAAATGTTATACTGAACTGTTTGTCACAGTGTTAACAATATCTGGATTTTTACATTTAGGAGAAATCTGTCTGCTTAGGAGATGCTGATCAGCCCTGTCAGTGCATCACTGGCTCCTAGCAGAAAAACAAAAGCTTAATACTAATGCAAAAAAAAAAAAAAAATCAAACCTCTCAGGTTGCCTTAACTTTATAGGCTTGTTTGTCTCCTGTTGCTGCGCAGTGGGGTTTGTGCTACAGCAGGGCCCCAGGTGCTTGGAGAAGGGGAGGAGTAGGGATTCGGGGAGGACTCTGCCTTCTAGGTAAAGCAAAGGTGGTTTAACCGAGGTACACTTGTTGCAAGACTAACCAGGTATGTCAGGAGCGCTATAGAGCACGGCTAATTTTCACCTTGCCTTTCCTGGGAGGCAAAACTGGCATAGGTATCTCTGTCCCCAGGTTTTATTAACAAGCAACTCTTATAAGCCCGACTCCTTTGGTGGGTCCAGCACTGGGGCTGGCAGGACACCTTGGGAAGTACAGAGAGAGGCATGTGCAAGGTGGCAGGGCGCGTCTGACCCACGGTCAAATTAGGGCCTATTTTTTTTTTTATTTATTTTATTTTCCTCCAGGCTGTTTTGGGAAGTATTAACTGGGCCTTCCTAGGCGTGGATGAAGCCCACCGGTTGAAGAATGATGATTCTTTGCTGTACAAAACGTTGATTGATTTCAAGTCCAATCACAGGCTGCTGATCACCGGCACCCCGCTTCAAAATTCACTCAAAGAGCTCTGGTCCCTGCTGCATTTCATCATGCCAGAGAAGTAAGTCTCCTTTTCGGTTCTTCAAAAAAACCCACAAACTTCTGTGTCCATTCTTGTCTGGTAAACAGAATTGAGGGAGTGCAGAATGGCAGAAATCCCTGAACTGAATCCCTGAATTCCACTCCGTGAAGTTAGAGCCATGAAAGAGAAACAAATGTTGGTGGGAAAATCAGAGGTTAAATGACTAACATAGGGAGCATTTCTGGCAGCAAAATGAATGGGGAAACCTAACACGTCCCTTTCAAATCCATCTGCTTAGAGCCATCTCTCAAAAACTAAACTTGTTTTAAGCAATCATGTCAACCATTTCTGAGGTTTCCAGTACATTGTGGTTCAGCCATCCTGGCCAACCATTTGATAGCAGGCTCTGAGAGTATTGCTCAAGGACGGTGCTGTCTGGGTGATTGTTCGCGTGTCTACGATATAACAAATGTTTTGTTTTCTTTTAAACAAAATGGATTTTGTGCATTGCTAAGGCAAGCATGCGCCAAAACTCACTAAAACTATGTTTGACTACAAAAAGAGCTGCCACCCAAATTCTTCTTGTTGGATAGTGAAGGAAAGGTTTGAGGTCTCCCAAGTAGAGGAGAAGAGCAGATCTTCACGTTTCGAAGGAGCTGTTGGAGGAAGCAGCAATCCAAAAGAGCCTTCAGACCAGTGTAAAACACAGTCCAGTTGTCAAAGCCCTGCCTGGGGGAGGGCACTGTGGAAAGTTCAGAAACTTCCACAGGTAAATGCCAGCAGGAGACAGCAGAGCAGAATACTGAAAAACTTGGGATTTTGGGTCTTGGGAGTCAGTGTGGAACTCGCAGATAAGAGCCCAGATAAGATGTGAGAGAGCTTCCAGCTTTGCCACCCATCTGTTTAGTTAGCCAGAGCAGAGTGAACCTTCTGTCCTCCCCTGTATCTCCATTAAAGTGGTGATCTTCTGTCCTCTTGTGCAGGAGGAGCATTCTGTTCAGTGCAATAAGAAGTACTCTGACCCCTCTCTGCTCCTCGTTTCTGTTGATAGGTTTGAGTTCTGGGAGGATTTTGAAGAAGATCATGGAAAAGGTAGAGAGAATGGCTACCAGAGCCTTCACAAAGTCCTGGAGCCATTTCTCCTGCGCAGAGTGAAGAAGGATGTGGAGAAATCTTTACCAGCCAAAGTGGAGCAGATCCTCCGGGTGGAAATGTCTGCTTTACAGAAACAGTATTACAAGTGAGTGATTTATTAAGTTGCTGGGAGTGCCAGCAGAGATGGGCACATCTTTCCACGTGCCTTAGGAATGTGTTTCAGTATATCCTTCAGAATGCCACGTGACAGCCATCAGCTGTACTACCAGGAGTTTCCAGCAGGAAAAAGAGGTAGAGTAGTTGGTATATTTTTTTCTAAAAAAGCATCTCCAGACCACTGGAGATGCTTTTGTAGAGTGATACAATTAGCTGGCCAGCTTTGCGGGACAGAGACTATGTCTTTTCTGGGGGAGTAAAGCTCCCCACAAAACTGCAGTGCTGTTTAATATTATATACTGCAATATTATCAATAGGAAAGTAAGATCAGGATTTCTAGAGAGGAAACAGCAGCAGCCTGTAGAAATGAAGAGAGATGGAGGGAGAGAAGTAGACTGATGCCTGAACAAGATTTCCCT